CTAGGCGGTCACTCCCATACCTCGGAACAACAGGCTTGAGTAGGTGTGAAGGCGGCTGAGCGCCGTATGCGGCTGAGCGGTCTCCTTTTCCTGAGCGCTGCATGCGGCTGTACGGTCACCTTTCCTGAGCGGTCTTCTTCCGCGCCCGCGCGCCCGCCCCGCGCCGCCCGCCCGCGCACCCGCCCGCCCTCGCGCCCGCCCGTCCACCCGCGCCTACCCACGCCCGCCCACGCCTTCTGCAGCGCCTTCTGCAGCGTCGTCCAGATCGCCCCCGCTTCCCGAATTTTTTTCCGATTTTTTCAATTTTTTTTTAATTTCATTTTCATATGGTCTCCATCTCCTCTGATCAGGTTTTTGAGGTTCCCCTCCCACTTTCACCCCATCCCAAATTTTTTCGATTTTTTTTTTTAATTTCATTTTCTTATGATCTCCATCTCCTCGGATCAAGTTTTTTGGATTCCCCCTTTAGGGCTTCGAATTTTCTTGTATTCTCCTCGATCAACACCCTCCCCCCACATCATCCACTTCTACCCCAAATATTCCTGCTCTACTTCCTTGGATCAAGTTTTTCTCAATATCAATAATACAAGACTCCATCTCCTCGGATCAAGTTTTTGGATTCCCCCCTCTGGGGGTAAGCATTCAAATTGGACTCCCACTTGCATCCCAAATTCCCTGCTCCAATTCCTCGGATCAAGTTTTTCTCGATATCAATAATACAAAGGTTTCCCCCACCATCCACTTCTACCCTCTATGCCCAAGTATTTCTCCTCCATCTCCCTGGATCAAGTTTTTCTCGATATTAAATAATACAAAGACTCCATCTCCTTGGATCAAGTTTTTTGGATTCCCCCTCTGGGGGTAAGCATTCAAATGAACTCCCCCTATGGGGCATGGTACTTTCTCTTACTACAGGTCTAAACAAGTGTGACGTCACCCCACCTGTGTTTACTCGGCGGTCAGTGACGTCACGTGATGACCTCACACACACACAGGCTGAATCTTGTCGACCAAATGGACTCCCCCTATGTCAGTGACGTCACGTGATGACCTCACACACACAGGTTGAATCTTGTCGAGCAGACAATAACTTAAAATGCAGGATAACACTAATACACAATATTTTCATTAATTTATTATACAACCAATGCATTTCATATACATTTCTGGTAATACAACAACAAAAAAATACAAATTAATTGAAAAAAGGTACAATTCATTGACTAAAATCAACATAGAGTAATTCTTTTTCTCTTGAAGAAATTCTATGCATTTTGTTCTGGATCATCTTGGTCGTCACCATCTCACTCCATACACACATTTATCACAATACCAGGTCACTCTGTATCCCCTTATTAACTTAAAATTAACTTAAATGAAGAAACATAGGATAACACTAATATTTTCCATTTTAAAGTATTACATTTTCTTCATTACATGAATTCTCAGTATTACGCATTTCATATACAACATAGGAAAACATTACACATTTTCACTCTTAACCCAGGATAACCCAAATAATTCCACATTTTTTCGTTAATACCCACAACAATCCACAATTTCTTTACAAAAGATTCACTCTCCTCAAGTCTAGACATTTTTCTCGTTTTAACTATTTCATCAGAAAAAGTCACCACAACACTTACAACTTATAACCACTTTTCGATAAATTCACTAGCCGCAAATTTACATATTACGAAGTTAATATACACACACACACACACACACACACACACACACACACATTCTCAATCTCTCTTAAGAATTATTCTCTCTTCGACAACCTTTATCATCTCACTACAGAACAACCACCAGATTACTTCGAACACTCATAAATCATTTGAATACTCACAAAAGCACCTTTGTGAGTATTCAAATGATTTATGAGAGTGTTCGAAGTAATCTGGGGGTTGTTCTGTAGTGAGATGATAAAGGTTGTCGAAGAGAGAATAATTCTTAAGAGAGATTGAGAATGTGTGTGTGTGTGTTGTGTGTGTGTGTGTGTTGTGTGTTGTGTGTGTGTGTATTATAACTTCGTAATATGTAAATTTGCGGCTAGTGAATTTATCGAAAAGTGGTTATAAGTTGTAAGTGTTGTGGTGACTTTTTCTGATGAAATAGTTAAAACGAGAAAAATGTCTAGACTTGAGGAGAGTGAATCTTTTGTAAAGAAATTGTGGATTGTTGTGGGTATTAACAAAAAATGTGGAATTATTTGGGTTATCCGGGGTTAAGAGTGAAAATGTGTAATGTTTTCCTATGTTGTATATGAAATGCGTAATACTGAGAATTCATTAATGAAGAAAATGTAATACTTTAAAATGGAAAATATTAGTGTTATCCATGTTTCTTCATTTAAGTTAATTTAAGTTAAAAAGGGGGATACAGAGTGACCTGGTATTTTGATAAATGTGTGTATGGAGTGAGATGGTGACGACCAAGATGATCCAGAACAAAATGCATAGAATTTCTTCAAGAGAAAAAGAATTACTCTTTTTGTTGATTTTATCAATGAATTGTACCTTTTTTAAATTTAAATTTTGTATTTTTTTTTTTGTTGTATTACCAGAAATGTATTAAATGCATTGGTTGTAAATAAATTAAATGAAAATATTGTGTATTAGTGTTATCCTGCATTTAAGTTATTGCCCTGCTCGACAAGATTCAACCTGTGTGTGTGAGGTCATCACTTTGACGTCATTTGACCCGCCGAGTAAACACAGGTGGGGTGACGTCACACTTGTTTAGACCTGTAGTAAGAGAAAGTACCATGCCCCATAAGGGGAATTCATTTGAATGCTTACCCCCAGAGGGGGAATCCAAAACACTTGGTCCAAGGAGATGGAGTCTTTGTATTATTTGATATCGAGAAAAACTTGATCCAGGGAGATGGAGGAGAAATACTTGGACATAGAGGGTAGAAGTGGATGGTGGGGGAAATCTTTGTATTGTTGATATCGAGAAAAACTTGATCCGAGGAATTGGAGCAGGGAATTTGGGATGCAAGTGGGAGTCCATTTTTGAATGCTTACCCCCAGAGGGGGGAATCCAAAAACTTGATCCGAGGAGATGGAGTCTTTGTATTATTGATATTGAGAAAAACTTGATCCAAGGAAGTAGAGCAGGAATATTTGGGGTAGAAGTGGATGGTGTGGGGGGGAGGGTGTTGATCCGAGGAGAATACAAGAAAATTCGAAACCCTATAGGGGGGAATCCAAAAATCTTGATCCGAGGAGATGGAGATCATAAGAAAATGAAATTAAAAAAAAAATTGAAAAAATTTGGGATGGGTGTGAAAGTATGAGGGGGAACCTCAAAAACCTGATCCGAGGAGATGGAGACCATAAGAAAATGAAATTAAAAAAAAAATTGAAAAAATCGGAAAAAAATTCGGGAAGCGGGGTCGATCCGGACGACGCTGCAGAAGGCGAGGGCGGGCGCGAGGGCGGGCGCGGGTCGGCGCGGGCGGACGGGCGGGTGCGCGGGCGCGGAAGGAGACCGCTCAGGAAATTAGACCGTACAGCCGCATACAGCGCTCAGGAAAAAGGAGACCGCTCAGCCGCATTCGGCGCTCAGCTGCCTTCACACCTACTGGCTTGTGATAAGTTTTGGTTCACTCAGTTCTGGTGTAGGTATTTGTTACTCTTAGAAGACTTTAGCGAGCATACACTTTAGTCACCAGAGGCTTTATCGTTAAACTGATACCGTCTCACTTTACAGACTTATTGGAATATGCTTTTTTTTTTTTTTTAGATACCTCAGTCAGATAAGCTTGGCTGCTTTAGGAGCATGTAGTAAAGGTTTCGGGTAGGTAGTTGATCAGGCATTGGCAAAAATGTTTTATCCACTTTTCATTTTACTATGACAGCGGATTAATCAATTAGTATACAGAGATTTTAGTTTTAAGTGTCCAGCATAATGATGAACAATGACATTATTTGCATCTTTATGTTTTGTCTATTGTTTTCTTCTTCGCTTTTACTTTCACCCCTCAAGGAAGGTTCCTTGATGTTGGTGAGGGACTCTTGATTTAGGGAATTGGATCTGTGCTCCAGTTCCCCGAATTAAGCCTGATTCAGCCTTCCACATCCCCCCCTTCCTAGGCGCTGTATAATCCTCCGGGTTTAGCGCTTCCCCTTGATTATAATAATAATTTTACTTTCACGTCGTCTACAAGTATATTTCGGAACGGCTGTATAACATATTCCAATGTCCTGATGCCGCAGGGTATATATGTACACAGGTGTATTTCTCTCAACGTATATATGCTGAGAGTTTACTTTAATCCCCATTTTAAGTATTAAATTATTGTCTAGTGGTGAAAAGCTTACGTGTAGCCTTAATGACTAGTGTAGTCGATAAGCTCTGAACTCCATTAACCAACCAACTAGGTATATCATGAGTTGGAATTCCCCATGTTTACATCACCACTCCGTAAGTACAACTCTCCTTGCTTACATCATTACATAAATATAACTTGCCTTGAGAAATGGTATGGTGACACCGACAAGATGCAAGGAGCGAGACAAAGCAACGTGATTGACCAGCAGCCTAGTCAAATCTGCCAGACCTCATGTCACAGGTGAACCACATTACTTCACGGGACTGACGGGCTTGTCTGTGATTGGCCGATGAACCGAGGTATTGATATAAAGAGGGGGGGGCCCTATTGATCGTTAAATCATTAGCACCTGGTTCGCTGGTCAGGAGGCAGCCTATATGAAAGTGTGACATACGCCGAACAAAATGTAACATACTCGTAGCATAGCATACTCGTAACCTGCATCACAACCACATGGACAACTCTCCTTACATCATTACCACAGAAGCACAGCTCTCCAATCTTACGCTGATTTTAATGCAGTTAGATAATATTTTTTATATTTCTCTGTGATTATCTTACATATTTGAAATCACAGAAGATAGAATTATTAAAATAACAGCATCATTGGCATATCTTTAATAATCCTCATTAAGTGTATATAAAACAGTAGATGGTTTTGGGAATACCAATAAAGTGTAGCTAATGGATACAAACAACATTGGCTTTTATAAAGCCTACTATACATGCGAAACATTGTCTTAATAAAGTTTTCAGTTGCTGCTTTGTGTCTTTATTAACAACAGTGTATATACCGTGCAGTAATAGCTCACGCAACTTATAAACATTGAAATGTACCGAATAAAATATATTTCTAATTATTTCAAGTCAAACTCTAATAAATAATTAACATCTTTGTTATGCAAATAATATATTTCTCCTCGATTCGCCGGTACTCTCCCGCCTGGGTTTTATCCAGATGGTGACCCGGCCTCGGCTCCCTGTTTTGGGAGCGTCTAAGACCTAAGACGGGGCTCGTAGGGAGAAGCTAGGCTTTTCTAATACAAGATAAAATATGCAAAACAGATTCTGTAAATGGCATCCATGGTATATAAATATATTAGTACAATTTTATGAGATGTTGAAGGAATCGTGTATAATGTATTTTTCTATGTGAGGGAAAAGTTCAACAGATAGGGGTAGCGAGCGAGTATATGGTAACGATAGTTTGATTGCCGGCTACTTGTTAAGGTAGGGTCAGTCTAGCTCCGGCTATCCCCCCCCCCCCTCCTTTTTCCCCACCCCGAAAGGTGACGTGTGGGGCTCCGGCCAAACAGTAATCACTCGACTCACAGCTCCCAGCACAACTGTAAGTAAAAGCCTCTGCTCCTATTCTAGTGGATATTGGTTGAAAACTTCACTTTTGACCAATAATAAAATTAGTCCTTTCAGTTTTAAGCTCCACATGAGACTTTTAGATAATCACCACCTTTTTTAAGTATCTTACACTTATCATGGAGAGTGATTTGAGACTCTATGACCGCGGGTTCAATCCCGGCCGGGGGTATGATTTCTTAAGCAGTGGGTAACCTGTCTCTTTCCAGCTTGGAATGACAGCTCGGGTCACCTGCCAACCAACGAGAAGTGTTGAAGGAGACGGACTGAAACCGGTCTTGGGACGTCACTTTATGATCTACTTACCTGATTAATTGTACAGGACACTACCCCTCATCTTTGCAGTGGTAAAGAGCCTGCGTTCCTTGTCACCTGGACTGACTATTCAAGGCTATAGACTCTGTGAAGAACTAGTAGTTGGGTTGTCACTAAACACCTGTGACCTTCCCCCCACATCATCAGCAACTGCTACAATTTCTACAAGACAGTGTCAACCTCAACCAGACACCCCAGTATAACTGTACATATTAGCGTTGAATTCGAATGTCAATTTTCCATTTCATTTTTCATTTTTCTTTAAAGTAGGATACACCTTCATGTTTCAATGTTTTATCTTTGCATTACTAAATAATAAATTGTTTATCTTTGTGAATTATTTCTTTTTCTATTCATTAATTTTCCTGAGAGGAGCCAGCCTTGGTAATACTGACTGAAGTTGTTACAGGGCTGAGTAACTCAGCCTTCACATTCTATAATATCAGGTTTCAAAAATAATAGCATTTACATTATAAGAAACTAAACTTTTTTTTTCTTTGCTCTCAGTCATTAAATATCTCTTACAAGTGTGCGGTTATTTTCAAGGGAGGCGCCCAGGGCCTGTGTACGTATGCAAGAACAACAGTATTGTGAACTATTTGTGTTTACGTTGTCTGTAAATGTGTTGTATACAATACACTGATAACCCATAGTGCGGGTATTGTTTAGTATACAGTGTCTGCCATACGAACATTGTACGTGACTGCAGGTCAGGTGCCTTAGGAAATGAACCTACCCTTCCCATCCTTCAATCAAACCTGACTACCTCACAGTCCCAGGTGCTGTATGACCTCTATGATTTTGCGCTTCTCCATGAATATTAGAATCTCCTAATTATGGCAGTTATTTTCTATTGCTTTATTTTTAATGTAAATATCCTTAAATGCACCGTTGGTGAAACTTGAAACTCCCCAAACTGAAGCTTGGAAAAAATCTTCAAAGGTGGTGATAGTGGTGACCCTTGGTTGTGGTGTGATGTTGGTGATGGAGATGGCAGTGGTGACTATTATGTTATTATTAGTAGTGGTGTTGCTTCTGCTAATGGTGCTTCCGTTTGTGGCACTTTTGTTGATGTACTTTTGTTTTCGATCCTGTTGCTGCTTCTTTTATTGATGTTTTTGTTAATACTTCTCTTATTGGCACTTCTGTTGTTGCTACTGATGTTGGTACGTCTGTTGATATTCTGTTATTCATTCTTCTGCTGTTGCTACATATATTGAGGGTGCTTCTGTTGGTACTTCGGTGATTACTTCTATTGTCGTTACTTCTGTTTTTTCTGCTGAGTTCGCTTCTGTTGTTTCTTCTGCTGAGTTCACTTCGTTTTTTTCTGTTGAGTTCACTTCTGTTTCTTCTGTTGGCTGTACTTCTGTTTCTTTTGACTGCACTTCTGTTGTTTCTGCTGTTAACTGCACTTCTGTTGTTGGTGTTACTGTTATTAATACTACAGTTGACTGTACTTCTGTTGAAGGCATTTCTATTGATTGTACTTCTTTTGATAATATTTCTGTTATTTCTTCTATTGATTGTGATTTCAGTTGATGGTTCTACTGCTGATGGCACATTTGTTACATACTCTGTTGTTAAATTTTCTGTTTGTGGTATATCTATTGTTACTTCTGTTGACGAGTCTTTTTCTGTTATTACTTCTGCTGTAGGCAATTCGGTTGATGATGCTTTTGATGGTATTTCTGTTGAAACTATTGTATATGGTACCTCTGATTGTACGTCTGTTGATAGTACTTTCGTTGATAGTGAGACTGTTGACGGGGCGTCTGTTGTTGCCTCTTCTGTTGTTAGTTCTTCTTTTGATTCTCCTTCGGTTGATGATGGTATCTGCGTTATTATTGTTATTTCTGTTGTCGTTGGTTGTTTTGGTGGTGTTGGTGGGATCGTTACTGTTCTTACAGCTGTTGTTAGCAATGATAATTTAGCAGTTGTTACAAGTCCCCCTGAAAGATAAAAAAAAATATTGACTATACTTATACAGAATAAAGGGTTTTTAATAGCATCCACAGTCTACAGAGGCCTTAATATAGTCTGTATAGCAATAACACAAAATCATTTAAAAAATAACTAGTGCTTAGGAGAGGAAACTTATCACGACTTTTAGGTCAGTTCTGGACAGTTGTAAAGTCACAACTGAGCGAGAAGAAAAGGCCATATTTAAGTATTTAAACAAAAACCTACTATAACGGCTGAAGTACCATATTGGGAGAGTGTAACTAATGAATCGCTACAAGAACAAGTATTAGGCTACACATGATCATATTGCATATTAATCGGACGACGGTAATGAATTACATACTTTTTGTATGCGGATACCAAAATTACGAGAATAGAGACTGAAGAGGATAAAAGAAGCCTCAAGCAAGACTTCAGACAAAGCAAATTTACGAAGAAGGGAGATGGAGAAAATGAGACCAAAGACTGACTACCATCTGGGAGAGAAAGATTACATAAAAGACTTAGTAATAAGCGTTCCCTGTCGCCAATAAGACAGCTTAAGCTTATGAACACATGTGGGACATTCAGGAGTCTACACAGAGAAACGTTCAAAGCGCTGTTTTAACTCAACACAGTAAAAACTCGTGACAGCTCATAGCACATGATTTGTAAAAGACATAGAGTAAACTGAGCAATGATGCGCTAAATGAAAACAAACGCTATGCTTAAAAGTACCTCATTTTTTGGAAAATATGGGAGAAAAAATAAGACAGTATTCATCCAGATTTAGGAAAATCTTTAAAAGAATTATCAAAACAAAGAATCTAAATGCTGTTTAAAAATATTATTTACAGAACTTTTCATATGCACCAATAAATGTATAAAATAATCAATGAAGTATTTACCAATATCTTATGACATAAATATTAAATAATATATAGAATGATAAAAAAAAAACATGGAGAATTGACACAGAGAGCAAGAGTCGTACGGTATTGGATCAACTTACTTTTTGGAATGCAACACAGGCATCCATAGCCTTGACAGCCTCTCATGTTTAGTGTGCCATTACCACAGTCATTTTTGTCTTGAACACAGAAGCCATTGACCTGAGTACATAACTTTTTCGATTTACATGGCTTGGCGCAACATTTGCAGGTATTTCCCTCGTTACAAATGGCGGAAGTCACACGTTCATTCTGTCCACAGCTGCTTTTGCAGTGACCTCCCTCGTACATCAAACACGATGTGGTAGTGTAAGAGGTACATGCTGAGAAATAATTTGCAGACTCTTGGATTACATACATTAATAAGCTATAAAAATTATAAGAAGGGATATACGTTGTCCTATTATTGGAGAAAATATGAAATCTTTCGCAAGAGACAAATTAGATTCAACCTCTCATCCTTAAGGCCAAAGTCCTCAGATATTACACTGCATGAAAATTAGTCACATATGCAACACTTGTGTATCTTTATTGAGGAAAAATTTCGCCACACAGTGGCTTCATCAGTCTTATACAAAGAAGAATGGTGAAGATCAGGAGTTTGAGGTAATTAGTTCCTCAGTCTGGAGTCGAAGTAATCAGTCCATCAGTCTTGAAAAGATAATAATAATAATCGTATAGTACAAATACATGTACAAGGTATACAGTACTAGCTGACATTAATGACATACTACTATATAGAAAGCCCTTATTATGCAGAGCATATCGGGCAAATTATGTCAATTTTGTCCCAGGATGCAACCCACACCAGTCGACTAACATCCAAGTACCTATTTTACCGATAGGTGAACATGGACAGCAGGTGTCTTAAGGAGACATGTCCTATTTTTTCCACCTGTGCTGGGGATCGACCCCCGGACCTCAGTGTGTGTGAGCTAAGTGCACTGGCAATCGAGCTACGGGACGCCACATCAATTACATCAACTCCAGGCTAAGGGACTGATTACCTCAAACTCCTGCTCTTCACCATTCTTCTTTGTACAGGACTGATGAAACCACTGTATGGCGAAACGTTTCTTCAGTAAAGGTACACAAGTGTTGCACATGTGTCTAATTTATCAATTTGTCGGTTCTCTGAACCATTTATCTACATTACACTATATACCTCGGATATTAGATAAATCCATAGAGAAAGGTAATGTATAGTCAAAAGAGTACTGTTGCGAAAGTCAAGTGGTAACGAAGAGTAGTTCACGTAGCGAATGTGATCAGAACGGCAAATGGAGTTGAGAACTTCAGAAATATTCATGTTTACAGAGCGGTCTGGGTTTTTTTTTTCCCCCTCCACCCCCTAGAAGACAATGGCTTAGTTATAATTAAGTAACAATTTTCAATAACTGATGCAGAGGAGTAAATTTACTGTATGTACTCATGATACCTTTTCACTTTTAAATAATCCGTTCAGATAACAGATTTTTTAAACGTTAGGCACAAAATTATTATATTTACCATGCAAAGGAAAAATAGTGTGAAGTTATTAGTTCTTGATGTTTAAGTTGAGCATTATAATGGTAGTTTTCCATGTACGGTATAATATTGTAAACCAAAAATCCGTGGTTTAGGTCTACACTTGAAGAATTGAGACACTTATGCAACACATAGGAATCTTTATTGAAGAAACGTTTCGCCACACAGTGGCTTCATCAGTCCAATACAAAGTAGAAGTGGGTAAGGAGAGTAGAAGTTTGAGGTAATCAGTCCCTCAACCTGGAAACGATGTGTTCAATCCATCACTCTTGTAGGAAGTGCAGCACAGGGCCAGAGAGGTGGCTTATATACTGCGGTGAGATTAGTTGAAGCAGGATGAGGCGGGATCACAGTGGGACCTGCCACTAGTGTAAGTAGGTCGTCGTCCAAAGGTTGGGCAAACGTTGAAGTCTTTGTACCAAGATCCCATGATGTTGCAGTGTCTGACATGTGATGAATGGTTTTGAAAACCTATGCTGCACTTCCTACAAGAGTGATGGACTGAACACATCGTTTCCAGGTTGAGGGACTGATTACCTCAAACTTCTACTCTCCTTACCCACTTCTACTTTGTATTGGACTGATGAAGCCACTTTGTGGCGAAACGTTTCTTCTATAAAGATTCCCATGTGTTGCATAAGTGTCTCAATTCTTCAACTTGTCAGGTTTCAAAACCATTCATCACACAGGTCTACACTTGATATATTTTGAAACCTCGGTATACCAGGCTATTAGAAGGAAGGGAGGTCCATTTAAACGAAAATCCATTGTATATAAATGTCGTATGAAACGGACATGTCACTTTGTATAGGGAGACTTGAAGATTGAGACACTTATGCAGCATATGGGAATCTTTATTCAGGAAACGTCTCGCCACACAGTGGCTTCATCAGTCCAATACAAAGAGGAAGGCGTAAGGAGAGGAGGAGTATGAGGTAATCAGTCCCTCAGCCTGGAGTCGATGTGTTCAGTCCATCAATCTTGTAGAATGTATAGCATAGGGCCGTAGACGTGGCTTATATACTGTAGTAAGGTGAGGTGAAGCAGGCGGAGGCGGGGTCATAGTGGTACCATCCACTAGTCGAAGTAGGTCTTCCTCCAAAGGTTGAACAAGTGTTGAAGAATTCTTTGTAACAAGATCCCATGATGCTGCAGTGTCTGACAGTTGTGATGAATGGTTTGAAAAACCGACAAGTTGAAGGTTGAGACACTTATGCAGCATATGGGTATCTTTATTCAGGAAACGTTTCGCCACACAGTGGCTTCATCAGTCCAATACAAAGAGGAAAGCGTAAGGAGAGGAGGAGTATGAGGTAATCAGTCCCTCAGCCTGGAGTCGATGTGTTCAGTCCATCAATCTTGTAGAATGTACAGCATAGGGCCGTAGACGTGGCTTATATACTGTAGTGAGGTGAGGTGAAGCAGGCGGAGGCGGGGTCATAGTGGTACCATAAGAACATAAGAACGAAAGAACACTGCAGAAGGCCTACTGGCCCATGCGAGACAGGTCCAAGTCTCCTACAGGCTTAAGCCAATGCACCCAACCTAGTCATGTCAGGTCACATTGACTTAAGGGAGGAACACGGCAACCGACCTGGTAGCTCAAGCTATCAGGTCCAACTCACACCCACCCACATTCACTCATGTATTTATCCAACCTATTTTTAAAGCTACACAACGTTCTGGCCTCTATAACTGTACTCGGGAGTTTGTTCCACTCATCCACAACTCTATTACCAAACCAGTACTTTCCTATATCCTTCCTGAATCTGAATTTTTCCAACTTAAAACCATTGCTGCGAGTCCTGTCTAGGCTAGATATTTTCAGCACACTATTTACATCCCCTTTATTTATTCCTGTCTTCCATTTATACACCTCAATCATATCACCCCTAATTCTACGTCTTTCTAGAGAGTGCAGATTCAGGGCCCTTAGTCTATCCTCATAGGGAAGGTTTCCCGATACTGGGATCAACTTTGTCATCCTCCTTTGTACATTTTCCAGAGAATTATATCCATTCTGTAATAAAGGTGACCAAAACTTGGCAGCATAATCTAAATGAGGCCTAACCAAGGATGTATAGAGTTGAAGAACAACCATGAGGACTCCTATTATTTTTTGCTTCTTGATATGAAGCCAAGGAATTCTATTAGCTTTATTGCGAACACTTATGCACTCTTGTCTTGGTTTCAGATTACTGCTAACCAGAACTCCTAAAATCTTTTTTGCAATCCGTAATATTAAGATCTGCATTATTTAGTTATATGTGGCATGGTTATTGTCCTGTCCAACATTTAGAACTTTGCATTTGTCCTATATTAAACTGCATCTGCCACTTCTCCGACCACTGCATCAGTCTATTCAAATCTTCTGGAGTGCTCGAATGTCCTCGTCAAATGAATTCGACGGCCTATTTTGGTGTCATCGGCAAACTTTTTTTGCCGATGTCGCTCTTATGCCGTCATCTATGTCGTTATGTAGATTGTGAACAGCAGGGGGCCCAACACTGACCCCTGTGGAACACCGCCGTGACGCTTCCCCACTCTGATTCTCCCCATTTATGCAAACTCTCTGCTGCCTATTTGTCAACCAATGCCTCTATCCAGGAAAAAATTTCTCCTCCTATTCCATGTGCTTTAATTTTCCTCAATAGTCTCTGATGTGGACCCTGTCAAAAGCCTTACGAAGTCCATATACACAATATCATATTCATTACCATGATCTACCCCTCAAATACCTTAGTGAAAAAAGTTAATAAATTCGTAAGGCAGGAACGCCCTTTGTAAAACCATGCTGAGATTCGTTGATTAATTAATGCTTTCAAGTGGCTACGAACTGCCTCGGCAATTATTGATTCCATAAATTTTCCCACTATGGAGGTTAGGCTTATTGGTCTATAGTTCGAAGCTAAGGACCTGTCACCTGTTTTGAAAATAGGTATCACATTTGCCATTTTCCACTTATCTGGCACCATGCCAGTTTGTAGTGATATGTTGAAAAGATTAGCCAAAGGTGTGCTAAGCTCCTCTTTACATTCCTTTAGAACCCTTGCATACAGTTCATCAGGGCTAGTCGAAGTAGGTCTTCGTCCAAAGGTTGAACAAGTGTTGAAGAATTCTTTGTAACAAGATCCCATGATGCTGCAGTGTCTGACAGTTGTGATGAATGGTTTGAAAAACCGACAAGTTGAAGGTTGAGACACTTATGCAGCATATGGGTATCTTTATTCAGGAAACGTTTCGCCACACAGTGGCTTCATCAGTCCAATACAAAGAGGAAAGCGTAAGGAGAGGAGGAGTATGAGGTAATCAGTCCCTCAGCCTGGAGTCGATGTGTTCAGTCCATCAATCTTGTAGAATGTACAGCATAGGGCCGTAGACGTGGCTTATATACTGTAGTGAGGTGAGGTGAAGCAGGCGGAGGCGGGGTCGTAGTGGTACCATCCACTATGACATTTGTTCAACCTTTGGACGAAGACCTACTTCGACTATTGGATGGTACCACTATGACCCCGCCTCCGCCTGCTTCACCTCACCTCACTACAGTATATAAGCCACGTCTACGGCCCTATGCTGTACATTCTACAAGATTGATGGACTGAACACATCGACTCCAGGCTGAGGGACTGATTACCTCATACTCCTCCTCTCCTTACGCTTTCCTCTTTGTATTGGACTGATGAAGCCACTGTGTGGCGAAACGTTTCCTGAATAAAGATACCCATATGCTGCATAAGTGTCTCAACCTTCAACTTGTCGGTTTTTCAAACCATTCATCACATAGGGAGACTTGTTA